CAAAGTGCTTTACAAAATGACCCCAGATTCCCATAACAGGTTAAAAACATTAACAAACATATGCAAGCACACGCACACACACACACACAAGTAAAAATTATATTAGGCTGAGTCCAGATGAGCCAAGTATGGTAACGCAAGGAAACGCCATCAGAGGAGCCGTCTGTCCCGGCAGCATCAGGTCTTCCACACTAAGTCAGGGCGCTCATTGGAGGGGGAGCATAGGCCTCCACCTATAGAGCGCCCAGGAAGCTACAGTCGACCACCGCTCCCGGGGCAGAGGGCCCCTACAGAGGAAACACTGGATTAAAATGAGTAAAAATGTAATGAAAGAGCTAATATAAATGACAAAAATTAGAAAATAAGTAATAAATAAAATGATATAAACAGTAAAATAATAATTTAAATAATAAAACTGTGCTAAAATATAATCATATAGAACAGGCAAAGCAAGTAATAAAATATAATCATGTAAAACGAGAAATAAAACTGTAGAAAATATGTCACGATGTTGTTGTGGGCATAGCGATGGGTACGGAATTCGGTACTTTTTAAGGTGCCAACTGAATTCCACAGTACCGACTGCGCACCGATCACGTCATTTGAAACGGTGCCTCGTTTCGGTACCCGTCCTTCATAACGAGAAGTTGCCTAGACAGCTGCGCATGCGCAAGAGCGTTATGTCGTCGGTCGCTTCGAGCCAGTTGTAAACAGAGCAGCATGGTAGAAAGAACGCACGCTAAAGCTTGGGTCCACTTCACTAAATGTGATGGGTAACTGGGTGATGATGAAACCAGCGACAACGATCTAAGTGAGACATCCTCATCTTAATCTGCTCCGGTAGGTAAATAAAATGTTTAAGATAACGTTAGCTTGATTTGTTAGCTTCCGTTTCGCTAATGGTGCGTTCGCTTTCTCCTCGGAACTCCGAATTTCCGACTAGAAGAACATGAACGCGCTCTAAAGTTTGGCTTCACTTTACTAAATGCGACGGGTGATTGGGTGAAGATGAAACCAGCGACAACGATCTAAGTGTGAGGCATCATCGTTTTAATCTGCTCCAGCAGTTAAATAAAATGTTTAAGATAACGTTAGCTTGATATGTTAGCTTCCATTGCCACCATTGTTATCAGCTAATGGTGCGTTCGCTTTCTCCTCGGAAATTCTAACTTCCCAGTAGGAAAAATCAAATGAAAAAGGACGGCAAAAGGAATGAAGATACACAGTAAATTTAGTTCACAGTAAAGATGTTTGCTTCAGTTTAATTATCAGCTTATAAAACTACAAGGACGATGTTAAAATACAAACAGTTGTATGTTATTTATCGTGATATTTATCAAATATGGTTATATATTGAGAAATATATATATGTTTTATTATAAAAGAGAATTAAAATATTAAACACGCAAAAGTACCTAAAATTGGTACCGTTAAGTACCGTTATCGATTCCTAGGTACCAGGAATTAGTACCGAATCGATTCAAATGTCAAAGGTACCCATCCCTATGTGGGCATCTGCATTAATGTAGTTGTTAGTGGCTCCGCCCTCTCGGTCTGACATCACGTTTAATGCATGCAAACACTCACCTGTTTACAAGTGTAAATAATTTATTAAAATAAGGCTGAATGACCTCATAAAACAATGGAAACTAAAATAAAAATTGTAAACTCTGTTGCAAACTCTGCCACATTCTAATTTGAAAAGATTTGTTTTATTAAAATCCAAACGCTTTTATTTGCACCTATTAATTTTTTTCATCAACCCGAGTTTTCCAGCCCCATCCATCTTTTAATTACAAATATTGCAAATGACTTCATTTTCTCCTTTAGGATGGTTCTATAGTATTGAACGTGGACTCTGGAGGAACTGGAAGGCACCTGATGGCGAGCCTTTAGGTATCTAATGCAATTCTGCATCAAAAACAAAATTTTTCTCTAAAACCACTAATATGTACTATATTTAACCCTTAATGTGTCTCATTTACGGATGCATCGATACCACTTTTTTCCAAACCGATACAATAACGATACTTGGATCTGAGTACTCGCCGATGCCGATCACTGACACCGATACTTCTACCACACAAAAAATGCAATGAATTGGAATACCGGTTTTATTTTCTTCTCTGTTTTCAACAGGAAAATACTTTGAGGTAGATAAAAACTTTAATATATGAATAGAAATGATCACAGAACTTAAATATTAGGTTAACAGAAATGACAAGTTACAGTGAAGCCTCTTTCAGGCAACTGCATCGTAATTTTTACCGACACTGATGTGCATCCCTAGTTGCATAATTTAGAATAGTCATCCGCTCTGCAGCAACGGGTGCACCAATAACGTCTGAGTAAATAAATAACATCAGAAACACAAATACAATAAACAGAGAACTTCGGGTGAACAGAAAGTATGCTTCAGCTATCGTTTTTGTAGAATTAAAGTTCTCCAACGTTATGTTTTCTTCCACACCGTCTGCTGTGCCCTCATCCTGCTCCATGACCTGAGGTGAAGGACGACACAACAGCATCAGCAGGTGATGCAGAGAGAGAGAGAAGACCACCGTGACTCGCAGCGGTGAACAAAAACATCGAAGTCTTGAAACGTCAAAGAGTAGGATGCAAACTGTCACGTCGTTGTGATATTAAAACAATTTGAAAGGTGATGTCAAATGCAGAAAACTAATACTGTTTAATTTTACCAAACCTGTAGAACAGTGAAGATCTCTGCTAACAATTAAAAATAAAACAGCTAAAGACAAACATTCATTTTCTTATTTAAAAAACTAATAAAAATAAGGGAATTTAATGAGAAACGTTTTCTTTCTTTATTGAGCATGTAAATCAATAGACAACCCAAAGCATTCAAAAAGTATTCGGAAAGAAACCCATACATATGTATATATATATATATATATATATATATATATATATATATATATATATATATATATGTAGAACATGTTCAATAGGAAGGGAACAAAGCTCTGGTAGTTTATATAACCCCCCCAAATCAAATTTCAAGAAAGATAAAACAAAAACTATATATATTTTCCCTACACTGAGTGTCATAGCCATTTTCTTATAACATGTTTTATCCTCAATCACACAAACAAAATTTACATTTTTTTATGTTTCATGCCCCCCCCCCCCCCAATGTTCACAGCTCTCAGTTCACCAACAATAGACAATTACAATCAAATGCAACACCCTTACAACTTTTCCTCCTCCTCCATGTAATTAATTAGTATAATTTCTTATACTTCTCTTTAAACTTATGCAATGAGGGACTTTGCTTTAGATCCTCACGTAGCTTATACCAAACTCTTACACCTGTAGCAGAAATACAAAATGACTTTAATGTTGTTCTAAAATATGCATGCCTTAAGTTGAGTTTGCATCTGAAATTATATAGGTTATCTGGTTTTATAAATAGCATTAATAATTTGTTTGGTAATAATTTCCTATGCACTTTAAACATGAATGTTGCTGTATATAGTTGAAGTAAATCTTTAAATTTTAGTATTTTAGAATATATAAATAACGGATTAGTGTGTTCTCTAAATCTAACATTGTGAACGACTCTCAGGGCTCTTTTCTGTATGATAGACAAGGGTTCAATAGACGTTGTATAAGTGTTACCCCATACCTCTACACAGTAAATAAGATAGGGATAAATCAATGAATAATAAAGGACATGGAGTGATTTATAATCCAAGTACTGCCGATCTTTATTCATAATATAGATGCTTTCCGCAACCTTATTATATACATGTTTAATTTGTGGTTTCCAACTTAATTTACTATCAATTATTATTCCAATAAACTTCACTCTTATTAGAGAAATAGCTATCGGTAACAGGGATGATTTTACATGTTAATAACTTGTCTAAAATATCCCCTTCAAAAGACCCAAACTATCAGTTTAAACACAGACAAACCTGTAGATGTTGGATCACATCCTCATTTAACAAGTGACTGAATACCTGTTACACATTTATTGCTCTGGTTAATATTTCGTACTGAACTCGTGAAGGCACTTTGTCAGGATAGAAATCTAAACAAATGTTGTTATGATGTCTGTTTTTTCACCATGTTCAGTGCCTTGGACTTTCGTTAAGGTGCTATTCAGAGAAAAGTTGTTTCTCAGCTGGCGAGGGAACTGGAGGGGCAGGTCCTTTGAGTAGTTTATAAATTCGTTATAAAATATAAACACATAAACAAAATGTGTACCTTTGTTAAATTATTACATTTCTGTATCAATTTCTGTGTGTGTTTATTCAAATTCAAAAATATTTTATTAATCCCAGAGGGAAATTGATTAAATTATTAGAAAAATTATTAATGAACTTGATTATTTAATGGTCTTTGAACTAATAGTTTTATAACTGAAATGTTTGATTAGAAATTATTCTGGTAAATATTTTTTTAAACTAATTATAGTTATTTGTTATTACCTGTCAATAAAATCCATCAAGTACACGGTGGATGCAGTTTCAGCCAAGGGGCCGCCAGGGGGCGCATGAATTGAAGAAGTTTACGCAAATATAATTTATTTTAAAGGGCAAGACATTTAAATATATTTTGGTTGTAAGCATTGTCTTTTTCATGTGCATTTTTAAAACTAGAAATTCTATCCTTTCCAATACAACAGCAGAAAGATTCCCAAAGGAACAACCAATATGCACCAAAGCGTGATAAGAAAACATTCAACTAACTTTTTAAAAGGACTTAAATAGCTTTGAGTTTAGGTAGGAGTCATTCAGAGTGTTTATTCAGGCTACAGTTATGTATGGATGTAAACCATGGACTTATGTAAACCCGATTCACCCATTAAAACATATTATTCCATATTTGCGTTTTAGAAAATGAATTTTCTAAATTACACGGGCGAAAATAACATCTACATTCCGTCTATATTTACAACGCATTTTATTCAATAAAAAACAAAAAATAAAAAAATGCGTTTTGGAAAGTTTTAATTGGAGTTCCGGGGCTCACGAGACCCGTCCTACTGAGTTGCTAGTTCTGCGCATACGCGGAAAAGCGAAAGGGTTCTCGTCGTACGGAACATGGGGTTTTACTACTCTTTAAAGTAAAAACAGCATTTAACATACCACAAAAACACGAATAACGAGTCAGTGAGTTGTTAGCTCCGCTCAGACAAGTAAGTCCAGTTCTGTCCGCGTCTGTGGACTTCACTTTGACTCCCTCCAGGTAAGCTCATTCTTGTTTACATGATTAGCAAACTTGGTGTAACTCCAGACACAGTTTTTGTTTTTCTGTCCTAAAATATCTGACTTGTTAGCACTCCGCAGTAAGTTTTTGTGTGACTTCCTGACTCTGGTGAGTGTTTAGATTTAATCTTTACTACATCCGCTTGTTGTGTTTACTGATTTGGTCAAAAACTAACAGCTGTGTGAGTTAAAACCTGCCTTCTCGTTCCTTTGGAAAGGCTGAAATCTCGCCAGTTAGCCCCTCTGTTATGTGGATAGCTTTGATTTTCAGCTTTTATAAATAACAATAATTTAACTACTTATCAGCACTCTAATGATTTCATCTATTTACGAAAGTACTGGGCGTGAGACTAGTGTGGGTAATTTGTGTGTCAGACAGGAATTGTTACAGATTACTGAACAGAAACCTCCCTGTTTCTGCAACAGGCTTTTATTTATGCCTCCATCAAGAGATTTTCTGCTCAGTAAAAAATAAAACCCTCAGGTCTAATTCATAAAATTAAATGCTCTTAAACCACAAAACAGATTAGTGGGAACTGTACTCGTGTACAGGAATGTTTGCAAATTCCTCAAAATGTAGGGATGCACCGATCAGGTTTTTTGCTGCCGATCACCGATACCGATATCAAAGAATGCTGATCACCGATACCGATCACCGATACCGATCACGTGGATTGGCCAGAAATTTTCTACAACATTATAATGAGTGCCACAAACTACATAATCTGGAAATAAAGGAAATGTAACCTAATCTAAAATGGTCTGTATTAGGGTCGTCACGGTGTGAAAATGTAAGCTCACGGTTATTGTGACCAAAATTATCACGGTTTTCTGTATTATCGCGGTATTTTTTAAAAACGTGTTACATTTTCACACAACTAAATAAACCCTGTATGTCAGGAAAATATTGTCCTCAGTTTGTGTCTAAATTTAGCCTAAAATGTGTTATTTTGTAATTATGTTGTTTATTTGTTTACATATTTTCCCCTTTAGTCTTTAAAATACCAATATTTGCCCATAACTTCTTATTTTATGTCTGTTTGATGTCATCATTTTAAAAATATTAGATCAGATGATACTCAGTACTCAAGTAGCCTTCTAATCAGATACTTTTTTACCCTTACTTGAGTAATAAACCCTATATCAGGAAAGTATTGTCCTCGGTTTGTGTCCTTCCAGTGAGCTTTGCAGATGTGGGAAAATGTCATCAGGCAGTAATCGTTGTTAAATTCATAATTATTCTCGGAGAGAGACCAACTCTTATCTGCCCCTGGGAGCCCCGTAATGCATAGCGTCATTTCAACATGGCGGTGTCCGCGACACGGTTTATATGCAGGTAGCGGCGCTGCGGCTGCTTTATATAGCGACTCGTTGCATTCTCCCTCAACCCAAATCCTCGGATCACGCATTTTAGCTAAAACGCTAACGTTAGCTTGCCTTGCGTTGACTGTAGAGTTGTGGGTGATGGTCACGCAGATGTGTCATGAGATTTGAAGCGTTGCTGCCTTTCACACACACTTTTTCTGCACGTGCTGCAAACAGGATAGCCGTCTTCTATCAACTGTCCCTCGGCATTCTTCAAATATCTAAAAAAATGCCCGTACTTCCCACTTTGTCTTCTTTGAGGGATAATAAATGTCCTGACTGAGTGCTGCCGTCTCCTCCTTTGACCATTATTTCAGCTTTAGCTTCAAGAAAGTTTTGGTTGTAAACAACAAAGTGCGCATGTGCCGCCGGCAACTTCAGCAGATGATACGGTGGCTGGTAAGGGTCACCGCGCCTACACCGCAGCCACGGTAATCCACCGAGATAATATAGTTTTTAAAAACAAGACGGTTATTATTATTGTCAACTTTTTTTACCGGGGTTTACCTCTACACCGGTTACCGTGACAACCCTACCTGATCGGTCTGCTTTGATCTATTTTGAAAACTCCGATCAAAACCGATAGGGGCGCTATCGGCCAATTGCGATCAAATGCCGATCCATCGGTGCATCCCTATCAAAAAATAAAATTTTATCTAACTTACTTTAGTGACGCTATTAATATATTTGTCTCGTCTCGTCTCGTCTCGTCTTCCTCCGCTTATCCGGGTCCGGGTCGCGGGGGCAGCATCCCAACTAGGGAGCTCCAGGCCGTCCTCTCCCCGGCCTTGTCCACCAGCTCCTCCGGCAGGACCCCAAGGCGTTCCCGGACCAGATTGGAGATGTAACTTCTCCAACGTGTCCTGGGTCGACCCGGGGGCCTTCTGCCGGCAGGACATGCCCGAAACACCTCCCCAGGGAGGCGTCCAGGAGGCATCCTGACCAGATGCCCAAACCACCTCAACTGGCTCCTTTCGATCCGGAGGAGCAGCGGTTCTACTCCGAGTCCTTCCCGAATGTCCGAGCTCCTCACCCTATCTCTAAGGCTGAGCCCGGCCACCCTACGGAGGAAACTCATTTCGGCCGCTTGTATCCGCGATCTCGTTCTTTCGGTCATTACCCAAAGCTCATGACCATAGGTGAGGATTGGGACGTAGATCGACCGGTAAATCGAGAGCCTGGCTTTCTGGCTCAGCTCCCTCTTCCCCACGACAGATCGGCTCAGCGTCCGCATCACTGCAGACGCCGAACCAATCCGCCTGTCGATCTCCCGATCCCTCCTACCCTCACTCGTGAACAAGACCCCGAGATACTTAAACTCCTCCACTTGAGGTAGGACCTCTCCCCCGACCCGGAGGTGGCAAGCCACCCTTTTCCGGTCGAGAACCATGGTCTCAGATTTGGAGGTGCTGATCCTCATCCCAGCCGCTTCACATTCGGCCGCGAACCTACCCAGCAAGAGCTGAAGGTCAGAGCTGGATGAAGCTAGGAGGACCACATCATCCGCAAAAAGCAGAGACGAGATTCTCCTGCCACCAAACTCGACACACTCCACACCACGGCTGCGTCTAGAAATTCTGTCCATAAATGTGATGAACAGAACCGGTGACAAAGGGCAGCCCTGGCGGAGTCCAACCCTCACTGGGAACAGGTCCGACTTACTACCGGCTATGCGGACCAAACTCACGCTCCTCTGGTAAAGGGACTGAATGGCCCTTAACAGAAAGCCACCCACCCCATACTCCTGGAGCGTCCCCCACAGGGTGCCCCTGGGGACACGGTCATAAGCCTTCTCCAAATCCACAAAGCACATGTGGATTGGTTGGGCAAACTCCCATGCCCCCTCCATCACCCTTGCAAGGGTATAGAGCTGGTCCACAGTTCCACGGCCAGGACGAAAACCACATTGCTCCTCCTCTATCTGAGATTCAACTATCGATCGGACCCTCCTCTCCAGTACCTTGGAGTAGACCTTTCCAGGGAGGCTGAGGAGTGTGATCCCCCTATAGTTGGAACACACCCTCAGGTCACCCTTCTTAAAGATGGGGACCACCACCCCGGTCTGCCACTCCCTAGGAACTGCCCCCGATGACCACGCAATGTTGTAGAGACGTGTCAACCACAACAGCCCTACAACATCCATAGCCTTGAGATACCCAGGACGAACCTCATCCGCCCCCGGGGCTCCGCCGCTGTGTAGTTGTTTGACTACCTCAGCAACTTCTGCCCTCGAGATCGGACAGTCCATCCCCAGGCCTCCCAGCTCTGGTTCCTCCTCGGAATGCGCATTGGTGGGATTGAGGAGCTCCTCAAAGTATTCCTTCCACCGTCCGACTATAGCCTCAGTTGACGTCAGCAGCTCCCCATCCCCACTGTAAACAGTGTGAGCGAGTTGCTGCCTTCCTCTCCTGAGGCGCCGGACAGTTTGCCAGAACCTCTTTGGAGCCGATCGATAGTCTTTCTCCATGGCCTCACCAAACTCCTCCCACGCCCGAGATTTTGCCTCGGCAACTGCCACTGCTGCACCCCGCTTGGCTATCCGGTACCTGTCTGCTGCCTCCGGAGACCCACAGACCAGCCACGCCCTGTAGGCCTCCTTCTTCAGCCTGACGGCTCCCCGAACCTCTGGTGTCCACCAGCGGGTACGGGGGTTGCCACCACGACTGGCACCGGCCACCTTACGACCACAGCTAGCAACAGCCGCCTCGACAATCGCAGAGTGGAACAAGGCCCACTCGGACTCAATGTCCCCCACTGCTCTCGGGACGTGGTCAAAGCTCTGCCGGAGGTGGGAGTTGAAGACCGTCTTGACAGGTTCTTCTGCCAGGCGTTCCCAGCAGACCCTCACTATGCGTTTGGGTCTGCCAGGTCTACGCGGCATGTTCCCTTGCCATCTGATCCAACTCACCACCAGGTGGTGATCAGTTGACAGCTCCGCCCCTCTCTTCACTCGGGTGTCCAAAACATACCGTCGCAGGTCAGATGATACGACTACAAAATCTATCATCGACCTGTGACCTAGGCTGCCCTGGTACCAAGTGTACCGGTGGGCATCCTTATGTTCGAACATGGTGTTCGTTATGGCCAAACTGCGGCTTGCACAGAAGTCCAATAACAAAACACCGCTCGAGTTCTGATCAGGTGGGCCGTTCCTCCCAATCACACCCCTCCAGGTCAAGCTGTCATTGCCCACGTGAGCATTGAAGTCCCCCAGCAGGACAATGGAGTCCCCTGATGGAGCACTATCTAGCACTCGTCCCAGGGACTCCAAAAAGGGTGGGTACTCTGAACTGATATTTGGCCCATACGCACAAACAACAGTCAGGACCCGTTCCCCGACCCGAAGGCGCAAGGAAGCTACCCTCTTGTCCCCCGGGGTAAACCCCAACACACAGGCAGAGAGTCTCGGGGCTAACAAAAAGCCAACCCCAGCCCTCCGCCTCTCACCCGGAGCAACTCCAGCAAAGTAGAGTGTCCAACCCCTCTCCAGGTCTCGGGTTCCAGAGCCAATGCAATGTGTCGAGGTGAGTCCGACTATATCTAGCCGGTACCGCTCAACCTCTGCCACAAGCTCCGGCTCCTTCCCCGCCAGCGAGGTGACGTTCCATGTCCCAAAAACTAGTTTCCTTGTCCGGGGATTGGACCGCCAAGGCTCCCGCCTTGGTCTGCCACCCGATTCACATTGCACCGGACCCTTCATGTTCCTCCTGCGGGTGGTGGGTCCACAGTTGGACGAGCCCATGTATCCGGTTCGGGCTGGGCCCGGCCGGGCCCCATGGGCGAAAGCCCGGCCACCAGGCGCTCGCTCACGGGCCCCAACCCCAGGCCTGGCTCCAGGGTGGGACCCCGGTAACCCTCCGGGCCGGGTACTCCGACTCTTCGTTTTCACCGCCATGAAAGATCCTTCGAACCGTTCTTTGTCTAATAACAAAATAATAAATGTATTAGGTACAAACCTACTCTTCACCAGAATTACACAGGGGTAAACATGATTAGTATATGAGGACATCAAGTTTTTCAAAGTTGATGGAAAATGACCTCTTTGACCTTTTCAGTGCATTCATTTGTACATTTAATGTCGTTTTCAATATTTAGAGTTCTTCACTTTCTCTTGTTACTTTTATTAAAATATTATTTTAACTTTCACTGTTATTAAGTGTTCAGCTCTCATAGTACAAAAAAACCTGATTTGTTTCTTGTAATTGGTGTGAAAAATGTGAAATTGCATAGTGCCAATTACTGCACAGTGACTTTTCACAAGTTGTTACCTAAATTATCAACGGGTTCTGCAGAGCTTGATGAGCTGCTGAACAGGTGATTCCACCACAGAACCAGGTGAGTTGGAGCAGGAAAACAACTAAAACATGCAGGAGCTCACGAGGACCAGGGCTGCTGACTCCTGATTTAAACTATAATGAAAAGAAACTGGATGTTTGGGCCCAATGGCACTATGGCAGGAACTCAACATCCACCCTTCCAACATAGCAGCATATAAACATGGACCCTGTCTCAAAACTGGACCGCTACAGGAATGAAGTGGTGAAGGTGTGTGTGTTGTTTGTTTTTTTTTCTTCAGCTGAAGCGTTTCTCAAGAGTGCATTTAGAGGGACATTATGGAAGTGTGACAGCCAAAACATGTATAGAAATAATAAATGTCTTCTTCATACGTTCTCCTGCAATGCCCTGGTCCTGTAGAATGAGCCCTGGCATTTTTACTGTGATTGCCTGTTTTTCTGTAAAATCACAGAAAAAGAGAGATGCTCGGGTCGAGCAGGCTGCTTCATGCGCGTTCACGCTCAGGCATCGCCCGTAGCATTTGCTATCCGTAGCTTTAGCAGCAGAGAGAGAGGCAGTGCCACTTTGTCGCTGTTCCTAACGCCTAGTGACAAAGCTAGCTACATTTCTGAGGACCCTTAGCTACTTTCTGTAGAACTTTCTTCTAGATATTTCCTGCAAATTAGCAACAAAATAGCCATTTTTACTCCGAACCGTTCTTTGGTTTGACGTTGTTTCAGCTGTCATCAAGGATATAAATGTTACAGATATAAAGGACGTCACTGGCGCTTTAGCTCACCTAGTAAGATGTCTGACTCTCATGCAGAAGACCTGGGTTTGATTCTGGGTGTGAACATAAATTATTTAGAGTTTCTTTTTTACATTAATGGTATATTTTTTACAGTAAGATGCCCAAATTTTTATTTGAGACTCGCCGAACGGCATTGAACTCACAGATAAAAAAGATGTGGGTTCAACTTTCATTTTGGAACAATTTTTCAAGCAAGGGAAGGGAATGATCTGAGCATGCAGGAGGACTGACCCATCATAAACCTTTGTCGGCTGTGCTGAAGAGAAAGCTACAGAACCACATTATTTAATTAATTAGCTGCGTGTTCTCCTGTCCTCTGTCCTCCGGACCACCACACACACACACACACACACACACACACACACACACACACACACACACACACACACACACACACACACACCACACACACACACACACGGGACTGTCTCAGCTGTTATTTTCGTTAAGGAGTGTGCACGTACAGCATGCGCACCTCGTGCACGAGCCTGCTATTGAAGCTGCTGTTACGCTTTTGGCCTGAGGGGGCAATCACGAGCATAAAAATTCAAAAGTCCGTAAAGTCCCTTTAAAGTTTGATGTTTTTGTAGTGGTCAATTATCTATAGGTTTTACACAAAATCACTCAGATTTTGTTTTAAACCATCATTTCTACTAACTAACTTGATGATTATCATATAGATTTTTTTTATGTTTGGTCTCATTTAGAGCTAACACCTAATTTAGAAAAACAGTCTTGTATAATTCATTTAGGCAAGTTATTATAGTTCAGAAATATTTGTTTTACAAAATATCAGCTGACTTTGTTTAAAGAGGAAAAAGGGTTTCAGTTTTACCCTCTGTGGTAAATGGCCTGTATTTGTGTAGAGCCTTCTTAGGGTTCTACAACCCCCCAAGGCTCTTTACAACTCTATCAATCATTCACACACACACATTCACATGCTGGTGATGATGAGCTACAATGTAGCCACAGCTGCCCTGGGGCACACTGACAGAGGCGAGTTCTGCCGAGCACTGACGCCACCGGTCCCTCCGACCACCACCAGCAGGCACGGCGAGTATAAGCTTGGTTTATGCTTGACGCATTCACTTTCCGCGCGGTGATGCGGCTTGTGGATGGAACGCGCTTCACAACTCGCAGCGTTTATGGTTTGTGCGGCTCGTCTCTGCGGTGAGCCAATATTCTCCCAAACTGTAGGGGGCAGCATGGAGCTCTACGGCATGCATCCAACACTACACCATAGTAGAAGTAAAAATGACTGTTTACAACATGGCATTCCAGCATTTTTAACAGCGTTCTCGTCTTTTCCGACAGTGCGAGCTATTTCTCTCCAAGAATTATTAACAACATGTTGATCACGGTGATCTCTGAGAGCTGAATCATACAAATGTCTGTATTTACGAACCTCTGCCATACTAGTTCTTGCCGGTCCGCCATGTTTTTCCGCGTCCGTCCGTCTGCGTGGTTAGAAATTTTCCGAGGTGCGCGTTGCGGAAATCTTGGGCCGTGCGGAGACGCGGTGGAGGGGCGTGGTTGTTAAAATGACGCAACTTTTCCGCGCAGAGCCGTGCGGACCTCGCGGACGCGTCAAGCATAAACCAACCTTAAGTGTCTTGCCCAAGGACACAACAGCAGCATTCTCTAGTTGAAGCCGGGATTTATTTTTAGTTTATTACAAAAGTTGCGTGAGATCTATCACAAAACTCGGAGAGAAAGCCTTATGGTCGACCACTTTAATTGTCTGGTATATTTGCACCCAAACAAAACTAAATAACACATTAAAATTGTAATTATAACGTTAATAATCATAATGGTAACTTTTATTTCTGTGGTTCTCTGCAGACTTGTGTTCCAACTCCTGGGATGTCTTTCCCCTGGATCTCCCTGGTGGACCCAACCAGCAACACGTCCATCAGCTGCTTCAGCTCCAACCAGAGCACGGTCCTCTCCGGACTCGAGTTCGGAGGAATTCCAGTCGTCCTGCTGCTGAACTTCTGTGTTTTCATTGTATGTTTCTGTCAACTTCACCTTCTCATTCCAGGTTTTGTTTTGTTTTTATGTTAAAAGTGACGACATAAAATATTTTCTTTTCTTTAACATCACTAGGATCAAGTTAGAGATTTAAAATCTTGTGACTAAATTAGAAACCCTGAAAGATGTTTTCTTAATCAATATTTTCTGTAATTTTTAACCAAGTTGCTTTAAATCTTTTGAAACTAGTTACATTAGGGCTGGGCGATACGGCCCCAAATTAATATCACGGTATTTTGGGGAGTTCACCTCGATAATGATAAATGGATAACTACCGTAAATCCTCTAATACAGACCCAGGCCTTTATTTACTCCAGCGCATCCTGGTTCAGGCCTTTATTGGAAGGAGGCCAGAATTAGAGACAGACCTCAGTTTCAATTTGAGCAAAATAAACTACTAGTAGAATGAATAAAAACAAGATTTTGTGTCTGTTTGAATCTATGAAACACCAGTTTCGTTTATTGAAGATGTACAGTTGACATTGTACGTACGTATGCATATAGAACATTTACAACAAACACCATTATTTCGCTGGAGGGTTTACCCAACGCTGAAGCGATCAACATAACAAACTATCTCGTGTGGCAAATCTCATATTACACTACAAACCAAAAGCCTTTTATGAGTCTGAACTATTCCTTTTCAGGTTGGTTAACATCGTAGAGATCGGAGAGGCTAGCCATTAGCATGTCTCGGAGAGTCGCTAGTCAGCTAGTGGCCAGCCTAGGCACGCTAATGGCTAGCCTCTCCAATGCTAACACCAGCCCGTCCAGGCTAACGCTAGCCTATCAATGCTAATAGACAGCAGAGGGAGTGCTTGAACCAGTCAATGACCAGCCGAGGGCTGCTAGTCCCTAGCGTATCTAGTAGTAACACCGGTAAAGGTGCTATTTCTCAGTAAGCAGCGCCAGCCTCTCCGTTACCGGCGCCAGCTTATCATTAATCAGATCGGTAGTTAGCTTCAGAATTTATATAGCCTCCTGCTGCTGGGCAGTAGTCTTAATTTTGGCCCCCATGCCGCGCCATACCCATCCCCCTTTCCCGTGAACATACCGGTAATGTTGATGTCTGCTGAGATTAGGAACGGGCCTTTATTACACCGGCTAATGTAGGAGACCCGGCCGGTGATTGAATACAGGCCAATATTAGGCCTAGTCCACACGTAGCCGGGTTTTCTTTAAAAAACGAATATCCGCCCCTCCAAAAACTTGCATCCACACCACCTCGTTTTAAAAAAAACTCTGTCCACACGTACCCGGATAAATACGTTGTTAAGGACATGCCAGACCTGTAGGCGGCAGTACTTCCTCCGTTCTTAACCTCGTCCTTCGTCTGTGGTCTTCCGCAAGGAGCAGTAATTCCGCTTGCAAAAGCAAACAAGCAAAGAGCACTTGGACAATTGATAAAGCAAGCGCAGCTCTGAGGGCATCCATGATGTCGGCTAGTGTAAACACAGGTTGCACACGTGATGTCAGCATTTTTTTGTCGCGGAAAGTGACGTTGCGGACCTTAAAACTCCGGTTTTGTCCGTCCACACGCAGACACCCAAAACGGAGAAAACGCAGATCTTCACTTTGGCCGGAGTTTTTAAAAAGATCCGTTTTCGTGTGAAAAAAACTCAGTTTTCGTGTGGATGACAGGCCAAAACGTAGAAAAATATCTACGTTTTGGCAGATCCCCGGCTACGTGTGGACAGGGCCTTAGAGGGCTGTCACATGTATTACGTCGAGTCACGTGGTCGTGTGACTCGAGGTGGTACAGCTTCGTAAAGTGACATGAACGTAGCCAACCTACACACATCTTTTCTTTTTTAATTATTGAATTTACTGACATGGGAAAACGATATTGATTAGAAACAGAAATTTCGATGATGATACATTTTCGATATATCGCCCAGCCCTAAGTTGAGGCTTTATTTATTCATTGTACAGAATCATGTCATACCTGCACTAAACCGCCTCTCTTCTTGAGTCTCGCAGGTGTTGCTGATCATTTTCTCGATTATCAGAAAGAAGTTCTGGGACTACGGTCGATTAGCTCTGGTTGCAGACAGTGATGGGTCAGTTTAAGAGATTTTACCTGCTTTACCCTACAAATGAAGTCACGGGAGTTTTGTAAACACACCAAATAGAATATAATAATTTAGTGATTTTAGCTTTTGTTTGATCGAATCTTTAAATCAGGTTCAACGAGTCAACGCACCGCCGCTACGGTCGTATGCCATCCACAGCGTCCAACGTGGATGACGCCGAGCACGAATCGGTACGTGCGGAAAACCTCACCTTCATCATCAGAAGCTTTTGTTTCTCCTCATCGTGTTTCTCTGTTTGTTCAGGGGTACTTCTCGTGGCTGTCCTACAGCGTCAGAATGGAGTGAGGGTTTATTTTATTGTAAATATGTTTTGTCACTCCTAGAATCCGAAATCTGATGGTATATGTTTGTGTTGCAGCGAAGAGAAGATCAAACAGAAATGTGGCGTTGATGCGTTACACTACCTGTCCTTCCAGCGTCATCTGATCATCCTCTTGGTGGTCATCACTGTCCTTTCCCTCGGAGTCATCCTGCCGGTGAATCTGACTGGGAAACTGCTGAGTGGGTTTCTGTCACACTTCTCTCTCATCCAAAAACAGAGATCAGAGTTCTTTTATGAACAACTTGAACATCTTAGAGGAAAAAAAAACTTAATTTAGTTCCTGTTCTTGCAGGAAATGATCCTGTAAGTTTTGGACGGACAACAATTGGGAATCTGAGCACTGAGTAACTACCGTAATCCGTGATGTAAAGCTTAATTCTCTCTTAGAACAAAAGCATTTAGTTTATAAGGAAATGTTCCTGTCCAGGAACGACCTGTTATGGCTGCACACTGTGTTCGCTGTGATCTACCTGGCCCTGACCATGGTGTCGCTGAGGCTGCACACGTCCAAGATGAAAGACCTGCGCAGGGACAAGGCGAGTCTCTCTGACCGAAAGACCGGATCTTGGTGGATGAGAAGTTTTTAAATGTCTAGTTTGGAACATTTTTCCGTCTGCAGGCCAGAAACACCTTGTTTATTTGTTCAGTCCCTAAAATGGCAACAGCGGAGGATGTAAAGGACCATTTCAGGTGACACAGTTACCGTAAATGATAGTATTAATGTGTATCACATATTTTGTTTTTATTATACAATTTTTGTTTTGATGCCCCTGTTTGCTTAACCATCACCAGCTGTGATCCACCTGGTTGTGTTTGTCCTTAGGGAGGCGTATCCTCAGTGGCGGGTGTGTTCTGTTACTCTGGCCTATGATGTGGCCAAACTGATGCACCTGGATAAGGAAAGGTGAGACATCAGTGAAGACATTTTCTGAATCATGGGAAACATGTTGTATGTATGAACGAGAGAGAAAGTTTTAGTGGGTGATGGTGTGTGTTTGTGTGTGTGTGTGTGTGTGTGTGTTAGCAGGGACATACCATCAGTGTTGTGCCTGAACTCGTGCATTGAACGATTGTTTGTGAACTCGTTCGTATTTCGCCTGATGAACGTACAATTGAATACGTTCGTCCTGGCGTGCGTAAACGGGTTTTTGAACGAGTACTTTAGCCGTTCTAGCTTCAGATCTCCACGGAGCTTTTCCGGAGCTAAAGCCTAGCCTAGCCTAGCTTCCATCCATCTGATGCGGCTCTCTTTGCTTGTAAAATAATGACTGGATATTTAAATAAAATGCTTTATATTTTACTGCATTAATTTTATATCTGTATGTCAATTCTAAATGTAAAGATTGCCTGCGTAAACCTGAACAGGTCCAGCCCGGTCTTACTGTGAGACCGGGTTGACGCGTCACGCTTGTGCGTAATCATAGGCGCTGTCTGAGCTGAAGACGATGTGAGATTCTGGGCTTTTCCTCAGACGGCTCCTGGATGCGTCGCCACATTGGAGACAGGAACAAGCACTATTCAGCCAAAGTTTCATCATCAGGGAACATTTTCTAAGTGACAAGTCTCTCTGAGAGACCGGGTTTGGAAAACTCTCGCTTCAGTCGGAGGAATCTTCCTGCATGCGCTCTGGTTCTGCGACGCGCTCCAAGCCCCTCTCCACATCTTCAGCTTGCTGTGCACCTTACGTACTCGCTGACAGTGAGCTTCGCTGAGCGGTGTCCAGCTCAGATGTTCAGATGGGAATCTTTTCTTGAGTGATTTAACTACATCTGCGATGTGTGAAACGAATAGTGTCAGTTCGTCTGCATGTGTCGGGGTAATTCTTTCTATTCTTTCTCCGTCAAAATAAACGGTCAAATACGGGAACTATCCGGTCAACACAAGCCCCGCTTTTAACTGTTCTGTTTTCTTGTGAAAATAGATAAAATTAAACTTGATTAACACCGGAGCCAGGCGCACTGCGCCATTATCGCCGTCGCTGTAAATGAGGGAAAAACAAAATGATCGGATCCTTTTTTGACCTTCCCCACCTACAAAGTTTAATTACAACAATCAAACGTGACCGAGCCTGGATTTGTATTCTGAACAGTCTAAACATGTTTTAAAAAGAAGCGTATGACAAAAGTGGCACCTGCTCAGTAAAACCACCAACAGGGTGAAAAATATCTAAATATTGTAGCAGAGACGGGCTACAACTTCTGCATCCACTTTATATAAATCGTTTTATTGATTATCGTCTTATGAAAGATAGCTTTGACGTACACGAGCGACCGGTACCGGCTGCTGTCACCTGTTGTGATTGGTTAAAGCAGCTCTCTGATGTCTGAGGGTAGGCCCCGCCCACAACGCCGCGGCTGCTGTGGCTCCCAGTGTTTTCTTTACTGTGGGAAACGGGTAATAATGGCTCTTGGATGGGAACAGGTTGCCGACCCCTGGCCTAGCTAAAACCAGCTGTTAACCATAGAGTTTATAAAATGTAGAACCCGCAAATGCGGCCAAACATAGGCAGTAGCGGTTGGTGCGGTGTCTACTCTTCTGCGTCTATGATGTGTGCAGGAGTCAAAGTTCATTCAGAAAAATTGAAAAGAGACTTAAGTAAAAGATTATAGATTTTTTAACGTTTTGCCCTTTCAATATTGCACTTTGAGTTTGCTATCACAGCCTGCTCCCTAATATTGTTTAATAATTTCCCATAAAAAAGATGTTTTCCTCATGTTATTGAGAATAACTGTAGGGTAAAAACTGCAGCTGAGTGTGGACTGAACGGGTGCCAACTATTGGAAAATTATTTCGTAAGTTACGAAGCCACTGAGGCCATCTTGTGGCCGAAAAGGGGCAGAGCACGTAGCGCCAACCCTGACCTTAGCGGCACAGCGTGCTGCTTCTGTGCCGCGGCTGGTCTGAATCACCCCCGTAGGCTAGAATGGATTCTATTTGAAGCAGCGGCGTTCTGCTGCCGTTCCACGCCACTGATGCCTCCAATGTGAAGTAGGGGTTGATTTGTGTTGCTGAATGCATAAAAGAGCTTACCTCTCACATCTTTTACATAACAAATCCTAAAACGTGGTTCCGTATCGTTGTTTTTAAACCTATAGGGTGCGAGCTGGGAAAAACCTGCGGTACTATGAGCGGGTTCTTGAGAAGACAGGGCTGCGTGGGCTGATCAACCCGCGACTGTGCAGCAACATCTGTTGCTGCTCCAGCTGTGAGAAAGTGAGCATTAACGCGACAGTTTTTAACGTTTATTCAGCAGGTTTTTCTCATTAATCATGCCGTTGTTCTCTCAGGTTGATGCCATAGAATATTACCGTAGTAAAGAAAAGCAGCTGCTGGAGGAAATGAGGCGGCAGACAGAAGAAGTACCAGATCATCCACTGGGGATGGCATTTGTCACCCTACAGACCGAAGCTATGGCTAAGTAGTACGAGACCCCTTGTTTATCAGTTTAGCATCACTAGAGTTCAACTAAATTACAAATCTAATCATGGAAACGCATCATGTGTGAGTATCATGCCATCGTCAGCACGTGACTCCTTATTCTAAGACTTGTGTGTTAAAGCTATTGAGGTCACTAACTGCTGCTATTTGTTCACATCAGCATTCTGATAGACTTCAATGCTATCGAGTGTAGCGGGATGAAGTGCTGCGGAGGGCGAGAGCCTCAGCCTTCGTCCAAAAGCAAAACTCTGAAAGTGAACCGGTGGCGGGTCAGCTTTGCTCCTCATCACAGAAGTGTTTATTGGTAATCTTCAAACGCCTCATTCTGCCACAGAGCTCCGGGAGTTGACGTCACTTCTCCCGGCATGCAACAGCTCAAATTGAAACGGCGCCATCTTGGCAGGCAGAAGCCCGCAGCTGGGCTATTTGTTACTGTCAGAAAAGCCAATCAGACGGGAAATATGGTAGATTCCTGTTGTGCCCCAGGATGCAGAACAGACGCGGACGACATAAGGAATGAGCCATCTACAGGATTCCCCAAGATCCGGAACGCCGCAAACGTTGGATCATTGTAATAAAACGCGCTAGTGACCGGGCTAAAATGAAGCTGTGGGATCCCGAGAGTAAAGGTTTTCACTTATGCAGCGACCGCTTCATATCAGGTACTTAAACCAACGTTTCCTCAACTGCGTATGGTATTTATTTTAAATGCTTTTATTACGAGTCTTAGTGGGCTTCCTAAACTTATTTTGGCGGGGCTTTTTCTGTCTTATTACTCATAGTAACAAGTAAACGTCACGTAAAACGTTGCCTCGTGAGTTCTGCGTGCTGCCGTTTACGTGTTTATGATCCCAGCAATTAACCGGCTAAGCTGTATTTAATTTTTAAGCAATGGTTGATCAATTGTCAGATCACACATAAAAAGCACTTTGGATTGCTATTATCTGTCTCACCGAGACGGATCTCAGACAGATCCTGAGACGCTCCTGCCTGGCATATTTATTTTATTCACAGACTAGTGATTCCTCTTGGCGTTCAGTTTATACATTCAAACAGCACAGCACTCTATTTAAACTACTTACGTGTAAATCTGTTATTTTTCCATCCATCCATCTATTTTCCTCCCCTTATCCGGAGTCGGGTCGCGGGGGCAGTAGCCTAAGTCGAGAGGCCCAGACTTCCCTCTACCCAGCCACTTGGGCCAGCTCCTCCGGGGGAATCCCAAGGCGTTCCCCGGCCAGGTCCGCTCCGACAGCTTCTGGAGTTTTAAAAAAGTATCCCAGGGGCACGGTAAGGGTCGGAGATGTTTAGTCTATTTAATTTCTGACTATATAAAACGATTTCTTTGGTTTTAAAGTGTGAAGTAAACTCCGACGGAGTAAAATCCAAGCCGACCCCGATCCTTTTGTTTACCTTTGTTGCCTGCCAACATGGCGTCTACTCTCTGAGAGTCACGTGACGTCCGGAGCTCTATAGTAGGGACAAAAGTCTAATCAGGAGCATAGAGATGCATCAGTTTGGTTCTTTGTCTGCAACTTCCTGTTTCTTTGCTCCTTTCTCCAAACCCAACAGGGAGAACCTTTCAGTACGAGGTTGCTGCTGGTTCATCCGCTGTATCGGAATAAACATCTCTGTTTTTATCGTTCTCACCTTCCTGACTACTCCCACCATCATTATTAACACCATGGACAAGTTCAATGTGACCAAGCCCATCTACTATCTTAATGTGAGGCTAAGTTGTTCAGATGTTTCACTTGAAGGATTTTAAATCTTCATGAAAGTTTGTTTTCTCTTCTTAGGACCCCATCATCAGTCAGTTCTTCCCAACTCTTCTGCTGTGGTCCTTCTCTGCGTTGTTGCCTACAATAGTGTACTACTCTACACTTGGAGAGGCACACTGGAGCAAGTAATACACACACACACACTGTTAGGGAGTACACTGAATGGTTTCCATTCCAAAAGTACAATTTCCTGCTCTACTGCCTGTTTCCCAGGTCAAGTGAACAGCTGAGCATGATGCGTAAGTTGTACTTCTTCCTGCTCTTCATGGTGCTGATCCTCCCCTCGCTAGGACTCACCAGGTAATTTTGATGAAGCTTCAACTCACGCTGAATGTAGTTGAACTTAAAAAAATGCATGGACGCTTTATACTGGTGATGCCGCTGTTCGTCAAAACCTTTAAAAACATTTAGTTGGAATGCCTTCTCTCGTATTAAAATTGGGATTTGAGACACTGCTTGTTCCAGGAGAAACTTAGATTATTTTTATCTGTTGTTTCTCTTTAGTCTTGCTTGGTTTTTCCGCTGGCTGTTTGATAAAACGTTTCTTGGTGGAGAAATACGATTTGAGTGAGTATCCATTTTTGTTTTTGCCCCCTGTCATTTTACCTTCTCTGAAATGATCTTCAAATGCATTTTGGAAAATTATTAGAAGGAAGTGCGTTACAGAGATAATTACTGGTTTTCGTCGTCTTCCTCCGCTTATCTGGGTCCGGGTCGCTGGGGCAGCATCCCAACTAGGGAGCTCCAGACCGTCCTCTCCCCAGCCACCTCCACCAGCTCCTCCGGCAGGACCCCAAGGCGTTCCCGGACCAGATTGGAGATGTAACCTCTCCAACGTGTTCTGGGTCGACCCGGGGGCCTCCTGCCGGCAGGACATGCCCGAAACACCTCCCCAGGGAGGCGTCCAGGAGGCATCCTGACCAGATGCCCAAACCACCTCAACTGGCTCCTTTCGATCCGGAGGAGCAGCGGTTCTACTCCGAGCCCCTCCCGAATGTCCGAGCTCCTCACCCTATCTCTAAGGCTGAGCCCGGCCACCCTACGGAGGAAACTCATTTCGGCCGCTTGTATCCACGATCTCGTTCTTTCGGTCATTACCCAAAGCTCATGACCATAGGTGAGGATTGGGACGTAGATCGACCGGTAAATCGAGAGCCTGGCTTTCTGGCTCAGCTCCCTCTTCACCACGACAGATCGGCTCAGCGTCCGCATCACTGCAGACGCCGAACCAATCCGCCTGTCGATCTCCCGATCCCTCCTACCCTCACTCGTGAACAAGACCCCGAGATACTTAAACTCCTCCACTTGAGGTAGGACCTCTCCCCCGACCCGGAGTTGGCGAGCCACCCTTTTCCGGTCGAGAACCATGGTCTCAGATTTGGAGGTGCTGATCCTCATCCCAGCCGCTTCACACTCGGCCGCGAACCTACCCAGCAAGAGCTGAAGGTCAGAGCTGGATGAAGCTAGGAGGACCACATCATCCGCAAAAAGCAGAGACGAGATTCTCCTGCCACCAAACTCGACACACTCCACACCACGGCTGTGCCTAGAAATTCTGTCCATAAAGGTAATGAACAGAACCGGTGACAAAGGGCAGCCCTGGCGGAGTCCAACCCTCACCGGGTTTTATCAAATTAATTGACATCCAGTTTGTTAGATGATGAAAGGTACAAAAAGTTAACATTTTACAATTAAATTATCATAAGCTGTTCAATATCTCGGTCATGTTTGAAGGAAGGTTGCGTTCAAATAGATTCCCTTCTCAGCCGGCTTGGTGGAAGTCAGTTTTTCTCCATTCAAAAAGGCCAAAGAGGGACTCGGTCATTGTTTACAATCTGTCCCACTTCCATACATCCTGGTTCCAGGGCCAGTCATATTTGAGCCCATGGGGTGGCCAATGCCCAATCCCAGTACTCGCACTTCCACCCTTTCGCCCTTCAATTGCGCGTTCCAGTCCAGGGGTGCGAGTGCGTAGGGTGTCTCGATCCTCAAGTGCGGAAGCGGACCACAGCCCTTTCGCACCCTTTATCCACACTTCGCTCAAGTCCGGATCGATGCAGACTTTGGCGAAGGGCATTACCCACAATCCATTGCTCCGTGAAAATTTTATAAGAAGGCAGAACAATGGCTCAAGGGCTGTTTCTGAAAATATTTAAAGGAAAGAAGTTCAAAACGAGTAATGATATTTATTCATGCTCTGAATATTTTAGATTAAGATTTAGTGTGAACAACAATGAATGTAAATTTTGTCAAGAAATTGTTTGTTTTAAAGTTGTTAATAAAGTTTTTTTAAGTAGCACAAACAGCGACCTGTGCAGGGTATCCGCGGGTCCTTAAAAAGTCTTAAATTTGCTTTTCCAAATTTAAGGCCTTAAAAATCCTTAAAAATGACAAATAATTGTTAAATACAGTTTCCAAAGATCTTAAATTACCAAAGACCCAATTAATAAGACTCTTATTTCTAAATTTTTTTTGTGAATTTCTAGTTTGTGTTCAGCATTTTTTGTGTACGACATTTGCGTAAGTGGAACCGTACACATTCAGCTGGTTGTGAAAGGGGGCTATTTTTAGATGAGCACACTAGCTGGTTAAGCTAGTGTGAGCTTGCGCCATGAGGAAGTGCAAGTTTAATGGTATGTAGATGGCTAATCCCACGTTAGCAACGTGGTTAGCACCGGTTCCAGGCAATAGTTGGAAATTATAGCTTAAATTTAATTGGAGAAAAAAAAAGCTTAAATTTGGTCAAAGTGGCCTTAAAAAAGGTCTTAAAAAGTCTTAAATTTTGCTCCCTTAAACCTGCAGATACCCTGTGCGTGTCGCGGTCGACGACACAGTGCTTGCTGTCGCACCGGGGAGTTTCCAAAACATGTTTTATATAAAGCCCGTGAACACATTTAGTGTAAATCATCACACTGGCATAGACCACGTCTTGAACTCGTCTTGATTTAGTTAAAAAGAGTCGAACAGAGAGATATGAGAGCTTTGGGAGTGATCGGTGATGAAATCAAAACTGGAAAACTGAAAACTGAATATTTATTTACTGTTGCAGTTTCTGAGATTTTATAAACTTGTCTCCAGTTTGAACGGACCATTTTGTTGTAATTCAGACTTATAGCTTGCATGATTTCCTCACACTTGAGTGCTTTTTAGTCCCTAGTGGCCAAAGCTCACTAACACATGGAGCTTATCTCTGGTTATTATCAGAAATTTTTGTTCTCTTTGACTCCTCTCTCCTTTCAACACGCCAGGTGTGTGTTTTTACCAGACCAAGGTGCGTTTTTCGTCAACTACGTGATCGCGGCCGGCTTGGTGGGATCTGGGATGGAGCTGTTGCGGTTGCCAGGGTTACTGCTTTACACCATACGCCTGATGGCTGCTCGTTCTGCTGCTGAAAGAAAATACGTCAAAGAGGTTTGGTCTTAACTACCATCAGCATCGTTCCATCAAAAATACAAACCAGTTCCCACTTCAGACTAAAATATTCATCGGAAAAACGCTAAATAGTTTTTTTTCCTTTGTTGGTAGCACCAAGCCTACGAGTTTGAATATGGAGCCATGTACGGATGGACTCTGTGTGTGTTCACTGTCATCATGGCTTACAGCATCATTTGTCCCATCATTGTGCCTTTTGGTACGTCTTTGGTTACATATCCCGGTTGATTCTCAGTCATCTACATCATAATCGTTGTCAGCTAACCTTTAATATTGTCTAGCTAAAAATGACCCTGTGTTTGTCTCATCAGGCCTCCTCTACATGTTGCTGAAGCACCTGGTGGACAGACACAACTTGTACTTTGCTTTCTTGCCCACTCACCTTGACCGCCAGGTCCATCTGGGAGCTGTCAATCAAACTCTGGCTGCACCAATCATCTGCCTGATCTGGCTTTACTTCTTCTCTGTCCTCCGAGCAGGTTCGACACGAGAGCGTTACTGGTGATGGAGAAATTAAATGATCTGGTTCATTTGGAACCTAACTCATTTTGAACCCTGTGGATGAAGTTGGATGCATTCAGGTTCAGAAAATGTTTGTAAATATAAAGATTTAGCAGTTTTATTCCAAACTTCTGCCTAAGATATTAAAACAGTTGAAGTCTAATGAGCTTTGAAAGAAAAGCGTCTGGACTTCTTTGAGTTGCTTGAAGACGTTTCACCTCTCATCCGAGAGGCTTCTTCAGTTCTAAGGTCAAATGGTGGAGAGTCCCAGATTTAAACCCAGTGGGGGTTTCCCCCCGAAGAGAGAACAAAAGACCCCCTGATGATCTTCTACATAAACACATTGAGGGTGGGTGTGGGTCCTATTCAGCCAGAGTTTCGGGTGAGCTCATTGTGAAACCTGGCCCCACCCTATCATGTGAATTCCTGAGCTCAGATGGCCCAGGATATGGGCCTTCCCAGATGCCTCAACACCCACGCATATCCTTTTCTGCGCATATCTGAAGTTATCATCCATCTATCGGTATCGAGGTGAAATCCTCAATATATGGTGATATTGATTTTAAGCCATATCGGCCAGTCTCAGGCGGAGGTATGAATGAGAAATATGATCCAACATTCACGTCTGTCAGCGTTTAAAGGGATAGTTCAGATCTTTTGAAGTGGATATTTTAGAAAAGCTATTTTTGTTTAAAAACGTCACCGTTTTAGTGAATTTTAAACGTCCTTTTTGACATTTTTATTTGTTTTTACATAAGAAATTCAATGTTTGTCTTTATTTCAGCAAATTTTTATTACATAAATATCAAAAGTCGTAATTTTTTCTATTTCAAATCACTTTACAAATTATTTTACTATTATAACTTTGTGACGGTTTGAAATACGCTTTTCCAGGTTTCAAGACTTCAACGTCTCTGTTCACCTTAGTGGTGCTGTGCGTCACAGTGGTCTTCTCCCTCCTCATCACCTGCTTCGGCCATCTTAAATACCTCAGCCCCCTTAACTACGAGGTGGGTGTTTCCTAGTGAGTGAAGGTGATGCTGTCGTGTTATCCCTCGCTCTGATGCCTCCTTTTGTTCCTCAGGTCACGGAGCAGGATGAGAACACGGCAGAGGGAGTGGAAAAAAACATACAGGTGGAGAACTTTAATTCCACGACGACGTCGTTTCAAACACACTTCCTGTTGACCTGGAGTTACCTTATCTGTTTATTGTTCCTATTATTCATGTTCCTGGTGTTATTTATGAACTAAGACATTATTGGTGCACCAGCTGCTGCAGGGTAGCGATGGGTACCGAATTCGGTACTTTTTAAGGTACCGACCGAATTCCACAGTACCGACTGAGCACCGATTCACGTTATTTGAGACGGTGCCTCGTTTCGGTACCCGTCCTTCATAACGAGAACTTGCCTAGACAGCTGCGCATGCGCAAGAGCGTTATGTCGTCGGTCGCTGCGAGCGAGTTGTAAACAGAGCAGCATGGTAGAAAGAACGCACACTAAAGCTTGGGTGCACTTCACTAAATGTGATGGGTAACTGGGTGATGATGAAACCAGCGACAGACAACGATCTAAGTGAGACATCCTCATCTTAATCTGCTCCGGTAGGTAAATAAAATGTTTAAGATAGCGTTAGCTTGATATGTTAGCTTCCGTTCCGCTAATGGTGCGTTCGCTTTCTCCTCGGAACTCCGAATTTCCAACTAGAAGAACATGAACGCGCTCTAAAGTTTGGCTTCACTTTACTAAATGCGACGGGTGATTGGGTGAAGATGAAACCAGCGACAACGATCTAAGTGTGAGGCATCATCGTTTTAATCTGCTCCAGTAGCTAAATAAACTGTTTAAGATAACGTTAGCTTGATATGTTAGCTTCCGTTCCGCTAATGGTGCGTTCGCTTTCTCCTCGGAACTCCGAATTTCCGACTGGAAGAACATGAACGTGCTCTAAAGTTTGGCTTCACTTTACTAAATGCGACGGGTGATTGGGTGAAGATGAAACCAGCGACAACGATCTAAGTGTGAGGCATCATCGTTTTAATCTGCTCCAGCAGCTAAATAAACTGTTTAAGATAACCTTAGCTTGATATGTTAGCTTCCATTGCTACCATTGTTATCAGCTAATGGTGCGTTCGCTTTCTCCTCGGAAATTCTAACTTCCCAGTAGGAAAAATCAAATGAAAAAGGACGGCAAAAGGAATGAAGATACACAGTAAATTTAGTTCACAGTAAAGATGTTTGCTTCAGTTTAATTATCAGCTTATAAAACTACAAGGACGATGTTAAAATACAAACAGTTGGATGTTATTTATCGTGATATTTATCAAATATGGTTATATATTGAGAAAAATGTGTATTTAATTATAAAAGAGAATTAAAATATTAAACACTCAAAAGTATCTAAAATTGGTACCGTTAAGTACCGGTATCGATTCCTAGGTACCGGGAATTAGTACCGAATGGATTCAAACGTCAAAGGTACCCATCCCTACGCAGAGTGGATGACTATTCTAGATAACGCAACACATTAAGGGTTATATGCAGTAAATATTAGTGGTTTTAGAGAAAATGTTTATTTTTGCATTAGAGAAGTGCGAAAATAAAAAGTAAAATTGTTTATTTGATGTTTTGGCAGCTTTACCTTCCAAGAGTGCTCGACAACAAATCACCCGTTTGTGCCACAGAAGAGCCTCAGAAAGCGAAGACTTATGGTTCTACAGAGGGAAGCCCAGTTCACGGCTTCGGTCCAGTGGAGAACACGTCATCGGATTGTTGACTTCATGGATTTCCACGCTGAGTCAAAACCAGGAAGCTAAGATCCACAACTCCACTCAAACGTTTGGCGTCGCTTAGAAAGGCTCTTGTTTTTTATTCATTTAGACTAAAACATAAGAAAGGAACAGGACTCACCGCTGTCGCGTCTGAATGTCTGTTTCTTTAGCTGGATGTTCTTTTCAGGGTAGTTTTATCTTTTTGTTTGTGGCAAACTAAAACTTATTCAAGTGATCTTAATGTTCAACGGTTATACCAACAGTTCCGATTATCATCAACAAGTCTCACACACACACACACACACACACACACACACACACACACACACACACACACACACACACACACACACACGCTGTTTTAGTTTGAGGGATTTTATTCAGTAAAGAAATGTTTTACTGGATTTTATTTTATTGTAATTTAGCACTTTGAGTGACTTGAGTTAAATGTCACAAAGCAAAAAAGAGTCACAAACGAATATTTAGCCATAAAAATCTGCCAATCAGAGCGAGCCACGACGGTGAACTGATCATGTTGATAGTCACGCGTGTAACACGGACACCAAAGAACCTTCCTGATGGGGAAAAAGAAGTAATTTGCACTATTTGTTTTTGTTACGTTATAAAATGTTTGTTTAGATTATATTAACAAAACAAAATACTTTTAAATGAGAGTTCGTAACTTCGTCTATAGTTTCTGTTTTAGTTTCCGTTGTATTATGAGCAGTGTTGGGAGTATAACGGCGTTCTTTTTTAGGTAACGGAATAATCTAATTACTTTTCCCGCCGTTGCAACGCCGTTACGTTACTGGGGACGGGAGGTTGTGCGTTACTTTGTGCTTGTCGAACGTTGAGCAACAGTGTGAGGCTTTCTGACCGCCACACCTCAGCTGCAGCCAGGGAGAGAGACGTGTCGGTAACACACTTACAAACACAATGATGATTGGCCGGGTGGGCGGAGACCCTCAGTGTTCTCACTGTCACAGCATGCTGTAGACACAACAGAGCAGTGATGGGAATAACGCCGTTTAAAATAACCACGTTAAAAAATATATTTATTTCTGTAACGAGCAAACTAATTAATTACGTCTTCTTTTATCAAAACGTGGTTTCTGTTACTGATCAGGAAATGTGTGCATTAAGCAGTGCGGTGTGTTGAAGCTGTCATCAGCTGATCAGGAGCTAAAGAGGTAGATGTTTTCATCCGAGCGCATCACGGCCCGTGAAGAACGAGGAAGACGTGATGAATGTCTACGGCTGCAGGTGTGGATCTGCAGCCGTGCCCTTCTTAGCGTGACAGCGGGACGTCCCGAAGGTCCGCTCACCTGTTCACCGCTCAGACGTCCTGATCTTCTACCTTCCTAGATCATCCAGCTGTAACCTGTTTCTGATCATGTCTTTAGTCCCGCTGTAACACTGATGCATCAGTCTCAGACGTCATGGAGCTCAGGTGTTATCAGAACTACCTGTGTGTGTTTACCACCCAGCTTCAGCTCTTCTGTGGTTGGGTCTGACCCACGTTAGTAAATGTAAGTCCTCCATCAGGCTTGTGCCTCTTCTAGTGTCATTTTAAAGGATTTTATTTATTTAACCGTTACTAGATTACCAGCAACAGAAATGCTGCTAAAAACACACAATTATGTGAACCTGGAAAAATTAAACTACTGTGCAAAATTACATGTCTGTAATTTAGCTAGACTGAGAGACCATTTAAAGGCTCGGGAACCTATACAGGTGTTTCTATTTGCAATTTTAAATTTTAGCTGACTGGGGTCTTGTTAAATATCATACAGTGACCTTTTAATAGTCTAGATAAGTGTAATGCTCCTGTTAGTAGTTCCTCCTGTTAAGTGCTTATTTATTTAAATTATTCAGGTTTATAAAAAACATTTGGACCTACATTTTATTATGTTCCAGTCATTAGTCATTTATAGTGAATTAAGTTCAATTAACCCATTTTTCTAGCATTCTTTAATGAAAAAAGTAACTAGGTAGTTATTTTTCTTGGTAATTAGTTACTTTTATAATCTCATAACTCAGTTAGTAACTGAGTTACTTTTTGACAAAGTAATCAGTAACTATAACTAATTACTTTTTAAAGTAACGTTCCCAACACTGATCATGAGGCCCTTCAGCCATGTTAGCCCTGTTTTATGAAATGAATTGAACGTTCAAGCAGGTCAACGTCTGCATGCATTGAAAGTGATTTAAGAACTTTATTTAAATGTAACTCTTGAAGCGAAACGTTGTAATGAAGAGTCTAAGGGCTTTCTGTGTTTAGAGGAGTCATGTTCTGACACCAGGGGGCGCTGTTGTGCTGTGTTCAGGTGTTTTTACTTGTGCAACATTTATAAAGCTGTAACAAAAAGGTAAAAGACACAAAGTTGTGTTCAGTGGTGATGATTCCAGCTCCTCCTCCTCGCCTGATCCTTCCTCTTCCTCGTTTTTCCTCTTACTCCAGGCGTTTTCCGCTTTCTCGCCCCAGTGCCTGCTTCAGCATTGCCTCATCACCACTACTGGGAGCGTGGTTGTTAATTAATAGCTAATGAAGAGCTACGCTGTCAGCGGTTAGGATGAAGCTCTGTGTGCCTTAGAGCTCTCAGACAGAAAAGAACAACCCGATCAGGAGCTTAAAGTGGTTTGCAGTGAACAAAGCTAGTTACTGAAGGTTTCACACAGTCGCTTATCATCATGCTGCATATTTAGCGTCTGGTTTTGCAAAATACATTTTAATGCTATCGGAGTGCACAAAGAGCATTTTACTCTGGATTTTTACTCACTTTTTACAAGATCTTCCTGTTTGTTTACATTCTGATGCTTCGTTCAAGATGCAGCGAGAACGTTTTTGATTTCTTGTCATGTTTTTAAGATAAAGCTCAGAAGTACATTAATGCAACATTCTAGCCTGTATGTATTATTTAGTCTGGCCACGCTCCATTGACGGCTCTCGGTTGTGGGGCGGGTTCTACCGTTGTCTTTCAAATGATCTCCGCATTCTACTGGACAATGAATGTGACATACTCACCGCAACAGCCATCGGTAAATGAGGCGGTCCGCAGTTGAAGAAGGAGAAAACATCATTTTTTCTTAAAAAAAAAAAAGCTCTTCAATACATCTATCTGCTCCTGATTCTAATGAAGCCCAAGTTCTAATAACCCAAAAATGGATGTAAAAGCCGTTTCAAACGAGCCGTCGCCATCTTGTTTCACTCTGTTGCATCATCCCACCCACCAGGCATATGGAGTGCCCTGATTGGCCCACAAAGCGGATAAAGCTCTGTGATTTGTTCACTAAGCAGATAGAGCACTATGATTGGCCCACCATTATGGACCAATCACAGCTCTTTATGTGTTTGAAACCCCTCTAGAGAGCTGTGATTGGCCAGCCAGAATGCTGTCAGGGGCTGCAGAGGTTCCAGTGGAGCGTTCCTAGACCAAACTTTGCAAAGCAAGAATTTGGTCTAGTTCACTACGCTAGCAACTTTCCGCAGTTTTCCCCCTTCCAGGATTTATTTATGATTGTTTAGATGTCTGTTAAAGTGATAGTTTTATCATGTGTTACGACAGAGGCCATATGTTTTTATTTTTTGCCAAGCCTGTCCCGTAGAGCCCCACGCAATTTGAACTGAACGCCGTTCAGCATTCGCCAATAGTGTTAGACTTCTTCTTACACACGGATGTCAATCACAGTGTGTGCGAACATCTGAGGACGTACCTAGTCTGATGCAGGGTTGGCGACCTTTCTCATGCACAAGTAAGTCTTCTAAAGTATAAAACATAACGTGAGAATGATAATTGTGTTATAGCTCCGTTAGCTAAAAGCGAGCGTTCAACAAGAGGTGTCGCCTTCAACCGTGAACGCGGAAGTTGAAGCCACAGCTTAAAGCTGTTAAAGCGAATCTACAGAACAAGCTAGTTTTGAAACGCAAACGCGGTCACGGAGCGCTCACCCCTCCCCTCAGGTATCTTCCCTGAGATGCTTCTGCTGGAACCGGAGACCCATGATGCCAAAGGAAAACAAAATAGAGCTAAACACCAGTGGTTGTTTTCGAGGTCCAAACGTCTTTTTGTTGTCCGTGACGAGCTTTAGCAGCCGGCTGTTTCTCCTCTGTTATTGAGCTGTGAACCTCTCACACCAGAGGTGTTCCCTTGCTCAATACGCAAGTGCATAATGAATGGAGGACCCAAGGAAGCACAGAAGTGCTGCGGTTTGCCAAGACTGACGACCGGACGGTCCAGTAGTTGGTTTTGGTATCTCTAAGGTGGAATACGTTTGTCAGTGATTAGATGGTGCCATCGGATGAAAAGTACTACAGATTGTAGCTTCAGTGACTCCCAGTGCAGAGATCAGTAGTGTGTGTATGTGTGCAGGGGTGGACCTTTAAAGCGCCCGAGCGCCAGTGGAGCTAAACTTTCTTCGTCGGGCGGTAAATACTTGACGACTTACCGCCCGGGTGGCGCCCAAGCCTCGTTTGTCATTTACACACCGGCTTTCACCTACATCATGGCCGCGCCCTGTAGGAAGCCGCCGTTTTCGTTTTGCGCGCGTGAACCTGCGCGCCTCTAGCCACGTACTGCACGTACTGCACTTGTACGATTCGTGCACGTACTGCACGATTCTAGTTATAGTCACGTGAACTAAAAGTTCACTATTAAAGACGAAGTGAAACCACGCTAGAAACACACAAGCAAGCAGGAAGATGGCGCCGCCACAGGGATGGGATTTCTTGATGAAATCTCCGGCAAAACGCTTTAAAACTGGTGAGGAGAAGCGAGACAGTTCGAAACGGTATGAAGCGGAGAAGCGTGTGCGTAGGTGGAACGGTTCTTGGCGGTTTAAAGAAGACGGGAGGCACAGAGAGTGGCTCGAGTACAGCAAAGCGGAGGAGGTGATGTACTGCGTTGTATGCCGGAAGTATGCGACGACAAAATCGAGTTTTGTTGAGGGAACAAACAAATTCAAACTTGAATACGTTATTATGTTTGTGAATGTGTACAAAATAAAAGTTTATTACATTTGAAACGGTTCAGTTGTTATTTTGACTCGTTTCGGCAGCTGACCTGCGGGGCCGGTAAATATTCAGTTACCGGCCCGGCTGGCCGGTTGGTTGGTATTGAAGTTCATGTCCACCCCTGGTGTGTGTGTTCAAGGGAGGCAGTCACTGCATTTTCTGGGTGGATCAGAAGTAATAAAGATGTTGAGGCTGCAGGAACGTGTGAAGCAGCTGCTGCTCAGCTTTGTAAATGTAAACCCCCCCCCCCCCCCCCCCCCCCACACACACACACACACACACACACTCACACACACACACATCTGACTGAAACCGCTTTACATGAAGACACACACCGTCTCTGCTTTGGCCTTAGGGGTTGCTACCCCTCCTTGTGGGTGTGTGAACATTGAATCCAGTTATGGGAGTGTTTATTGGCATTTGATGTTCAAATAGATGTGCATTGTTTCATTTTATCTGAAAAAAGACAGCAAAACTCTTGTTTTATTTTCCATCCTAAACCCTGATCCACTTGCATAAGATATTGATTTTCTCTTATATTTGTAGGGGGTGTTGTAAAATTGTAAATATAGGGGCAATTTGTTTTATTTGTTAAAGTAAAGGTCTTTTAAATAAAATTTTCCATATTCCTTTGTTGTCCGACACATTTTTAACCCCACCATTTCCAACCCTGCTGAAACCAGAAGACCGTGTGATTAACCGCTTATGCAAAAGATAAAAGATGTCTGATCTTTAATAATGGCTCCTTAAATCTGGTCAAGATGACTTCAAATGCAGAACAATACATTAATAATAAATAAATAAACAAACAATAAATTAAAGACCTATAAATCCTTGAAGGCATTTTTGGGGTCGATGATGGCAGAGGAGTTAAAGCTGCAGAGTTTCCCCCTGTCAGGAATTATGTATGAGTTTATTTATTTTTTTAATCTGTAAAAGTGATTGTCTTTCCATGTACAGTGTGTTTGACCATCATAAAATATGTCGTTCAAATAAAAGGGAAAGACCATGAAACTCCGTGCAAACTTTATCTTCAGCCATTTGCCTGCCTGCTCAACCAACTGGTAGAGCATTTCTAAAGTCCCTACATCACACTGAAGTAGGCATGTATGACAATATCAATATGGCAATATATCGTGATTTTTTCACAGCGATATATCGATATTTAAAAGCCGTGCATCTAATTTTTATAAGAATTTAAATGCAAACATTTGTGTATTTTCTATTGATGCAACTCAAATGTCGACCGCTAGTTAGCAGCAGTGTGCAATGGGTTTTGTTTCCACCATTGAAATGTAAATCCCTCTATTATGGTTCAGATACCTCATGTTAAACATGTTATCAGTTTTGACAGTTTGCTGAATTTTCCTACAATAAATTGAGTCAAAAAATTGCTAATTTCATCTGACTGAATGTATCGCAATATATTGTGAAACATTGTATCGTCTCCCCGTATCGTGATACGTATCGTATCGCCATAATTTCACCAATACACATCCCTACATTGAAGCATTAAATGAACTTTAAGAAAAAAAAGAAAATTCTAAAGAACATGCAGCTGTTTGAGGAAAGGGCGTAACATTGCTGCTTTACAATATTATTAGTTTATTATTAATATTATCAGTTTACATCATCAGTTTATTGCCCCACATCAAAAAATGCAAAAGAGGTATTATTTGTACTGATCCCCCCCCCCCCCCCCCCCCCCCCCCCGTTAGGGAGTTAAAGGGGTTACCTTAATAATTTTAATGAAGGTTTATTGAAAAATTTGAACTATTAATGACTGCACAGTGGCAAGGTGGTTTGCACTCTTGTCTTGCAGCAAGGAGGTCCTGGGTGCGAATCCCAGCTTGGGAACTTTCTGTAAGGAGAGTGCATGTTCCCCCTGTGCGTGCGTGGGTTCTCTCCGGGTACTCTGGCTTCTCCCCACTGTCCAAAAATAAGACTGGTCCTCTCTGAATTGTCCTCAGGTGTGTGCATGCTTGGTTGTTTGTCCTGTCTGTCTCTGTGTTGCCCTGCGATGGACTGGCGCCCTGTCCAGGGTGTACCCCGCCCGTTTGCCCGGAGACTGCAGGAGATGGGCACCAGCCCCCGGCGGCCCTGTGTGGACAAGCAGGTACAGAAGATGGATGGATGAAAGTATTAATTTATTTTATTCTGAGCAATGTATTATGGTTTACATGCTGCAGTAATTTATCAGAACAGGTACGGAAGTGACCTCCTTACTGTGTCTTTGTAATTATGTTGTGATCTTTGGAGATGACACCACTGTTGCTGGTTTCTAACTCTGTGGAGGAGATTGTAGTCATTACCAGGAGCTACTCAAAGGCTGACGAACTGGATTTGCAATGAGCCTCAGTAAAAATAAATCTAGAGCCACAATTATTTTAGAATTCTTATCAATTCATCTTATATGTCAGAGAAAAATGGTGGCAGTTTCGACCAAATGTTTAAAATAAGTGTGTCGCACCCGATAGTCGGCTGGCTCCACGCCCCTGCAAATGGTTCCTGCTCACACACAACGGCAAACATATTTGAACCTTCTAGGTGGCAATGATGAAGAAAATAGAAACGATACTCATAAACAAGTTTTTTCTGTTGCGCTGTAGAATTTCATCTAAAATATCCCGACAGCCGCCACCAGACGTCGTGACGGATTGTTTTACGTCCACCAAGTACTGATCAATAAACTCTGATCATCTGACTGATCAGAGCCAAGTGTAGCACCAGAGGTGTGGACTCGAGTAACATGACTTGGACTTGAGTCAGACTCGACTTGATAAAATTTATAAAGACTTACATCTTGACTCAGACTTGAACGCCAGTGACTTACATCTGCTGACTTGAGCATATTTAATATTTTAGCACGAACGTGGCACGACATGGACAAAAATCGTTCTTCGTTCTGGGTTTGATCTTGTTCTGCTGAACGCAGCAGCACTTTGTTTAGAATCAGTTGCAAATAAATGAAGCTTTTAGAAGCTTTACTTCTGGAATTTATTTATTATCATCGTCATTAAATTGAAGTTGGACAGATGACTTGACTATGACTTGAAAATTCACAGTTAAGGACTTGGACATGACTTGGACTTCCACATCATTGACTTAGGACTCCGCTTGGACTTGGTTGTCTCTGACTTGGACTTGACTCGAGACTTGACTGGAAAGACTTGTTACTTACTTGTGACTTGTGTAACGTCCAGCAGTGGTCAGTTTTAGGTTCTGTTTTGACACCTCTTCACAGCTTATTGGTCATAAGCAGAGGTAAAATATCTATTGAGCTCTTAAAGCACTCGATTTACCAAACCCTACACTTGCACAGCAGTGACTTGGTCACACCTCTGTGTGGCACACGCCTCACCTGAGGCGTGGCGGGATGCGTGTTGTAATGGTGAACAGGCCGCAGCGTTCCAAACCGATGTCACGGATCTTTACCAGGTTTACCATTAGACAAATTAATAGATCTAATGCAATTAGTCAGTTGGTTTAGCGTGGCGTTCCTCAGGGCGCGTGTCTTTGTCACTTGTTTTTCTCCCCCAGTTTTCATTAAGACGTTATCTGTTTATCTGCTGTTCTTTTCCCCCGTGCTCCTGCCGTGTGAGTTTGTGTACATCTTGTGTCTGGGTGTGCACATGCAGAGAAGTAAGTGATTTCAGTGTGTGTGTGCACAAACATCAATCTGCTGCTGTGTGTTTGTTTGTGTGTGGGTGTGTGTGGCGGGCGACTGTTCATGCCTCGCTGTGGGATGCGTTGATTAGTGCTCGCTGCGGCACAGCTCCCAGCTGTCCTCGCGGCTGGCTGCTGATTGAAACCAATCAGGCTTACGATGGCCCCATCGCGGTGACCCCTCACCCCTCCCACCCCTGGCCTAATCACCTGCTGATTGGCCCACGCAGGGCCCCCTCCCATTGGCACGGAAGGTTAATTTAACCGGCGGATGAAGGCTCCAGGAGGGAATAGGAACGTGTGCAGGGTGATATTGCATGGATCTAGTCCAGCTGTCAATCACAGCCACTTAAAAAAAAGAGCAACCAGCAAACAGCGGCGACCAGAGAGGAAGAAAGGCAGGAACGGTCTCGTTGTTGGTGAAGGCGTTTTAGAACGCTTCCCATCTTTCTTCAGCGTGCATGATGTCATTTGCTCAGAATACTTCAGTGAAATGATTCATTAGAATCGTAATTGTTTTTGTTTTTGCACATATTTCTTAAATTCTTAGAAATCTTAAGTGTGCTTAGTTAGCAGCGTGCAAAAGACTGGAAAAAGCCTCTAAACGTATAAAAATAGACAAATGATAAATGACCTGAATTTGTGTAGCACCTTCTTAGGGTTCTACAACCCCACCCCCCACCCCCACCCACCCCAAGGCGCTTGGTGACAAGGAGCTACCGTGTAGCTGCAGAAGCCACATAATAATTTTACTATTTCATTAATTAACTATTAAAGCTTCTTTTTGCATTTGTTACTTCATCTAAAGACAAGAAAAATATTGTGAACATCATTTTTAAAACAAGTAGTCTCCAAAGGATATTCTAGATGTCCATTTGGATGCAAATGGTGTTTTTTTTCTTTGTAGCATGTAGAAAAATATTTCACAATAAAACTGTTATTTATTGTTTTGTTGTCACTTAACTTCATCCATGGCCACCGGGTGGCAATGTACAGACTCGCACATCTGGGTGACTTATGTGAAGGTTTTATGTGCAGCTCTATGAACAAGAGAATAGATGTCCGCAGTAGAAGCTCTAAGAGGTGAGCAACAAAAGCATAGCGTAACGTTTTTATTTATATGTGAGCAGATAAAAAATATGGTGGAAGAAAAATACTTTACTCGACCGGAAAAGGGTGGCTTGCCACCTCCGGGTCGGGAGAGAGGTCCTACCTCAAGTGGAGGAGTTTAAGTATCTCGGGGTCTTGTTCACGAGTGAGGGTAGGAGGGATCGGGAGATCGACAGGCGGATTGGTTCGGCGTCTGCAGTGATGCGGACGCTGAGCCGATCTGTCGTGGTGAAGAGGGAGCTGAGCCAGAAAGCCAGGCTCTCGATTTACCGGTCGATCTACGTCCCAATCCTCCCCTATGGTCATGAGCTTTGGGTAATGACCGAAAGAACGAGATCGCGGATACAAGCGGCCGAAATGAGTTTCCTCCGTAGGGTGGCCGGGCTCAGCCTTAGAGATAGGGTGAGGAGCTCGGACATTCGGGAGGGACTCGGAGTAGAACCGCTGCTCCTCCGGATCGAAAGGAGCCAGTTGAGGTGGTTTGGGCATCTGGTCAGGATGCCTCCTGGACGCCTCCCCGGGGAGGTGTTTCGGGCATGTCCTGCCAGCAGGAGGCCCCCGGGTCGACCCAGGACACGTTGGAGAGGTTACATCTCCAATCTGGTCCGGGAACGCCTTGGGGTCCTGCCGGAGGAGCTGGTGGAGGTGGCCGGGGAGAGGACGGTCTGGAGCTCCCTAGTTGGGATGCTGCCCCCGCGACCCGGACCCGGATAAGTGGAGGAAGACGACGACGGCGAAAAATACTTTAAAGACTTTTTCCTTCATTTTTGACAGAAACAAAACAAAACTAACACTAAAGACTATTTTTGCACATTTATCAAATTAAAAATTTATATTTTTGGATGGATTCAGA